GATCGGCTTGCTATGCTCACGGCTCCTGGAGTTACGCGAGGTCTGATCGACGGAGGTCAACGGATGAAACACATGACGATTGATCATGGCTTCCCAAGTGAGAGCTGGCTGGCTCCCAATGAACCTCAGCTCACCTGTTTCGTGGTCATCACAGACGCGACCACCGGGCACTGTGTCGTGGTCGGTGTTCCGTCCACCGCTACTGAAGTTACGTTGAAGCTGTTCTGGGACCGTTGGGTGTCTTACTTTGGCATTCCTCTGAGTCTCATGTCGGATAATAGTGCGTTGGATCCTCAAATGGTGCGCCACTCGTTGGCTGTTAACCATTTGGGAACTCAAGGCAATGGTTAACGGAATCTAGAGATTCTATCTACAATCGTACTCATAAAATCATCAACTAGCTTCGAGCTAAGCTAACAATCCCCCTCCCTGAGAGACAGCAGCATATAGTGGAGACAAAATATTCAAAAAACAGAAGTAGAACGACCCGGCGTCTTTTACGTCCTTTTACAAAATAAAAATTAGAAACGTACAAGAGATAACAATGGTCACTATTTTGAACTAACTTACCACCACTAGTGAAATATTCAGTCTGTCTAACACCCTCTGACTCCGCGAAATTATCGGCATGAAGCCATTTCCAATGAATAAGAGGAACAGCTTTAAATGACAATCGATCCATCCACTCACAGAATTGAATACGAATATCAGCAGCAAAATAATGATCACCAGTACTGGTTTCATTGGTAGTAATACAATACCATTCACTCTGGTATACAATATGAGTGATAGGATCATCGGAAACAGCGAACATAGGTTTATCTGGTAAGGATAATGGTATCATATCAAAATCAATAGAATCTTTACATTTTACATTACTACCTTTAAGGACTCTATCATTCCCATCATCATCATCATTAACATCACTATCAACAATGTTAGAAAGGCCAAGAACAGTATCACTCTCATCCATCGTGGCCATAACGTCCTCGTCACAAACCAGATTATCACCAGGACTCCTGGTGATAATCTGCATGATTGATCTCTACTCTGCAATCTCTGATGAGCTATGTCTACCTCCGAGGTAGACATAGCTCATCATCAATCTAATAAGTAGATTGACAATGTCGAAGGTCTCTACTCTCTACATCGCCTGGATACATCAGACCGTCCTCGAAGTTGTGCTTTACACCAACCCAAAAGCCATCATCGGCAGGGCTTTATCCAGGACTCCTGGATGTCCTCCTGGACCAGGAGGACATTACCGGCGCACGCACCGCTTTCACCCGAAGGAATCGCGCACCTCAAAGTCTGAATGGCTTCCAGTTTGAGTATCTCAAATTTAAATTCTCGAGACCCAAATTGACTCTCGAACTTCGGGATCTTCGGGATTAGCTCGATTCGATCCTTTCCGGAGGATGTCGAGTTTGCGGGCGGTGTAACACGGTGCTACTACCACCATTGATGTTGCCGTATGAGTGCGACTCAATGCTCTGATAGCGAAAGGGGGAAAGACGCCGCCAACCCTTTAACGACGCCAAACCAAGGTCATGCCATTGTTGCCTCAATCCTGTCAACCCAGGGGTTGACGACGGTAGACCGCGCCAGAACTGGAGGCAAACGAAAAAATCGACGATTTTACTGCGCTCGACTCCTGAGACGGAGAAGTCACTGGGCAGGCATTGCTTGAAGAGTTTTTGCAACTCAGACATAAAATCTCCACTAGATTCTCCCTCGGAGAGAGTTCGAGACACGGCAGTTTGCCATGTGGAAAAAATAGAAGGAGCATATCTGCTCAACAATACCTTCTTCGCTTGAGCATAAGCTTCGGGATCATTCTTGGCGAGTCGAACATTGTTGTCAACAATTTGGAAGGGTGCACCCTCTATGTTAACACGGAGAACATTATACTTAGTAGCTTCTGGCCATCCTAACAAACCATAAGTTTCCTCGAACTTGGATAAGAACTCCACAATATCCTGGGTTTTGTCGCCTTTGAAGGGGTCAATGATCTTGTAACTGCGAATACCGTTGGTCACCTTGAGGGATGGTTGGGGTAGACTAGAAGTGATGTCACCAGAAGAAATAGGTGAGATAGGGACTGCACTTGAACAGAGCTGGTAGAACTCACACCGGCAGAAGCAGATTCTCCTGGGGATGATCAGCTTG